ATTCGGATTAATTTGGAAAGTCAAAATTTTTGAATCCTAAAAATTTCAATTTTCACTTGCCTGAGGCTTTAAGGGGGTTATATAGGTCTTGAAGGCCAAAAAGAAGCTTCTTTTCTCTAATTTTTTTTTTTAAAGATGCTAAGTAAAGTATACAATTAATTTTGTTTACATATAAAAATACAATATGTTGACAACATTTGATGAAAATTTGAATGAAAAATAGTACAAGTTAAGGCGTCGGCAGTTCGTGAAGTAGACCGGCCATGACTACCGCGAATAATGATAGCTTTTTAAAATTTTATCTGAAATCAAAAATCCAAATTTTTTCTTAAGGAAGGAAGCTGGTCTAGAGCGCAAAAAAATGGGCATATTTTATGAATTTATTTTGACTCAATAAAAGAAACAATCCAAAATCTGTGAAATTTGTTTAATAATATAGGTTTCATGGTATAAATACAAAATTTTTGTGTGAATTAATCTCAAAATGGTCGCTGTGGAGCATTTCTCCGAAGACGCATTTTTTTTCTTATGGGTCCATGGCCGGTGATGTAAATCCCTTAATTTTGGTCCTAGATCAAAAAATCAATTTTTTTTAGTTTCTATATAACAACAGCAAGATACGTACTTAGGATTTTTTCGACAAAAAGTTACAATTTTCACAATAAAAAACGATATAAAATGGTTGATTAATAGAAAAACTATGTAATATAAAAAAAATCGTAAGTCTTCGGAGAATGGTATTTCGAATGTACTGTCAAAATTTCGTAAGAATCGGTGACGATTTGTTCGAGTTATGTCTTTGGCCAGTTTAAAAAGAGTGATTTCGAGAAAAACGCGCTTAAAGTTGTAGGTCAGGGCATACCTGCGAGGCACTGCCGTCGAATGAAAAATTTGGGCATTTAGACATTTTTGCCGGCATCCATGTTTTGGTATGTTATTTCTTAGACACTAAAGCAACTTTTAAGACACATTTTTTTCAATATTTTCAAAATTCTTGACCAGCTTCCCCCTTAAAGTATTGTAGGTGAATTTTCATTAACCCTCAACGAAGAAAAATTAAAAAAATTAAAAAACGTAATTTTTTACATAAAATTAGACCACATATTGGTTTGTAAAATGTGTTGAAAGAAATGTGAAAAATCTATTTTCAACAAAATTTTTTCTGTGATAAAATATTAAATATTTTATTTAAACTTTCTACTGCCTTAAAGATGTACATTTGAAAAAAAATTAAAATTTTCAAAATTTTCATTTCCGGTGATCCCTCGAAATGAAACAAACTGTTTTTTTTAGACAATATCACAAGCTAGAATTTGGCCGAAAAAAAAAACAAAAATGGTAAAAATCGGATTCATAATAACCTCTAAAATAATGCAAATTTTGGTAAAGTTGACATTGAAAAAAGTCCTCCGTCGATTTTCTCGTGAACTGTATCCCGAAGACTTGTTGCTCTTGTAGCAACCACGGAAATATTCCTCAAACTCGTTTTCGGAGAGTGTTGGGATGAAATTCCTAGGGCAGTTAAAAGTCCGGGTCGTTCAGGATGAAATACCCGACTCTCGCTGGAATTATTAGATTTTAGTAGCCATTTTCCCTACCCGCAGGGTCCCACAGATTTGGGTAAAATTTGAGCAGTTCTCAGGAGCTTTGGACAATGGATTTTGAAAACACAGTTTCGATAGCGTGGCCCTCTCTGGCTGCAACGGAGGCTTTAATTTCGTGTTTCAAGTCATGAATCCTTACTCGATGGTCGGGTTCGCAAAAACGAATCCTACGTAGTCAAATCACAGCTCGATTATAACGTTATCTGCATGGCATTTACCACCATCCTGTTGCAACTACGTAACTTACCTGTCATTTCCCTTAACAAGTAGAAACGAATAACTCCTGATCATCAGTATAGGCAACGATCGAAGAAAATCCAATTATACCGTCGGTTCGCATGTCGCACCAAGCTGGCGCTATTAAGGATGTTTGAATTGAAATATTCTCAATGGTTGTGGCTCATAAAGCATATGGTAAATAGATGGCGCACCCTTGCAACTTTTATTGTATTACGTGCATAATTTGTGTAAGTACGTGGTTATGTAAAACTTCTACTGGATGGGTGGTTGGATCTTTCCACTGTTTGTGTCAGCATGTAAGTTCCTTCAAACCGCATTTTCCCACAATCCACTCGCTATCACAAGGGAAAAATTAATCCCCGTAGGAAAAATGAGAACCAATAAATTGTTTTATTGACCTCATTACTCTATCATCAATTCATTTAAAAAACCTTAAAGCTTTAAAAGCTTTATATCTAATTTTTATCAAAATCTTTCCTCACCCATTGATTTTATTTCTCCACTTGCGAAGATTTTGCCGACTTCTTGGATGTAATCGTTTTAAAAATAAAAAAAAGTTGCTATTTACCAACTGAAAGCTGCGAACTTCAAACAGGCAACACCAGTAGGAGCTACATTCGCTTCGATTATACCATCCGGTCGTTCTTCGGCTGAGCTCTATGCACGACGTGTTCTCGTCACCTGCCATGAAAAATCAGTTCTTGTCTTATCGTTGTTTCTTTGAGTTACGGTATTTTTACTATCTTAGTTGTTGAGACCAATTGGATTTTGCTATTTTCATTTAGAAAAAATGATTGAGATCTACAATTACTCAGTAAACCATAGGAGCTAACATTGGTTTTAGCTTAGTATTCGTCGAGAACATTGTCTAAAAGTAAAGCTTCCTAAGGTCATCACGAGCCGCCTCTCGGAGGTGCTCCATCTTCGGAGGCGACTTTAGCAGCTGAGGGGTTAACAGAGCTTGTTACTATGCTATGAGGTACGGAGCATGATTTGGAACCCTGGCTAGCCCAACATCAAAAAAAAAAAAAAAAAATTACAAAAGCAAATGAATGTCAAATCTTCCGAGCGTATTTCTCAGGTGAAATAAGAAAGCTCTTCAGAAAAATTTCATCAGACGTCAGGAAGGAGCTTAGAAAAATTTAGAATTTAATGTCTAAAGCTCCCCATCGACGTTAGGGGCGATTCTAATGACAGGTTCAGCAGAAACGGTTGCATTAAAAAGGCAAAAGTAGGTTTATTGGTTTAATACTTTGCACAGTCAAGCTGATTCCACGAGCATAGATGACATGGAGCATGATCTAGGCATCACCTAGTATATGAAAAAATGATATCGAAAAATTGTATGCCATCTACATTTAAAGTCCACTTCTAAACCAACAAACAAAAGATTATTTAGTTAAGCGATCTTTGCGCTAGTACCAAGACTCAATTAGAATAATCCCGGCTCGTCATTGGTTGGCGTATCTTGCTTCAACCATAAATCCGCAGATGTTGTTTGTGTAAGAAATTCTGAGAGGTCTCGATTTAACACCGGCGGTAGGGGTCCTCTGGCAATTTGCAGACTTCTCTCCGAATAGGCGGATTATACTTAGTTTAGGAAGTGGTGCCCGTAGTTGATAGGTGTTTTTGATTAAATGTGGCCTCGTAAGATCGGTGGAACTTCTTGAACTCACTGAACTCCATCCTCTCATGCGTTTGCTAACTCTTTTAAGCTTTTTTGAACAGTTCAGAGGCATAGAGTAGGATTCCAGCAAGTTCTAAGGATGATGTTATTGTCCATAGTACTAGTGTTCGCATCATGTTATACTATACGGCGCTGAAGCGGATTGTGATTGGCGATGAAAAATGGTTTTGCTGTGTGTTTGGTGGGATTGGCAAGGAATTACCTATGACGTGCTGCTACCCTATGGCCAATCGCTCAATACGGCCCTCTACTGCCAACAACTGGACCGCTCGAAGGCAGCACTCATGCAGAAGAGGCCATTTTTGATCACCAGAGGCCGAATTGTGTTCCATTAGGACAAAGCCAGGCCACAGACGTCTTTGGTGGCGCCAGACGCTCCAGGAGCTCGGATGGGGGGTCCTAATGCACCCACCCACCCCACCTTATAGTCCAGACCTGGCACCAAGTGGTTACCATATTTTCCTATCCATGGCGCACGCGCTTAATGGTGAGAAGTTGGTCTCAAAAGAGGCTTGTGAAAATTGGCTCTCCGAGTTTTTTTTTTTTTGCCAATAGAGACGCAACTTTCTACGAGAGGGGTATAGTGAAGTTGGCATCTTATTTACGAATAAATCGGCGCATTTAAATCCGACAAATGTACACAAAGTTTTCATATTTTGAAAAATCAATAAAAAACCGAAAACCAACTTTTTTACTTGACCTTATATGTATGCACTTCTTAAGGACTTTCCTGCTGGGCAGCACACCTCTTGTAATTCCTCTTTTTCTCGCCACATTAATCGAAGCGTGTATATATGTGTGTGTTTATGTCTGCGCCTGCCTGTTTGCTCTAACAGTGGCAATTTTATATTCTCATTCTTGTGCTCACCAATCGGCAGTTTAAAATGTCGTTCAAAGGAAACCGATTGACGGTGTGCTGCGCGCATATTCATACCTAACTACCTACATACACGTATATGTGTATGTACATACGAGTGGGAATGTGCATATGTTTCAATATGTATACGCAATTTGCGGGCGGCACGTTTTAACGTCATCGGGGACATTACACCAATCCAGTACTAAATAGCTTTTCAAACCTGTAAGCGACCGGTGGCGCGAATAACGTTCGCCGGATGCTATTTAAGCTAAAAATAAGTTAAAGAAAAACTCAAATGCTTGATTAATAAGCAAACAAAAATAAATATATTTGTAGAATAAAAACATTAAATCGATTTAGATTTTGTTTGCTGTGCCAAAAGTGCGAAATAATAAATAAATAAATAAATTTTTACTTGTCGCGCTGTTGCTCTATTGAAGGCGCCGCCGGCGACGTCAATTTACGCGCGCTTACGGAGGCATAGATTGCTCGTGATTTTTCTTCCTCTGCTGCTGATATTGCTATTTGTTGTTGTATTCGGACTTGTGTAAAGGCAACTTTTGCCTTATCATTCTGCTGGCTATATGTTCCACTTTTTTTTTATTCTTCATCTTCTCGCTCGCTTGTATAATAAATGCGGAAAATATTTAACTAAAAATGCGATTACAATAAATGTGAAAAGGGGCTTGAGTAGCGAAAGAGGGGCTCACTGAAATTAAAAAAAAAAAATAAAAATAAAGGAAAAAAAATCGCAAGTGAGTCAGTGTGCAAAAAAAAAGTTATATAAAGTAGATTAAATTAAAAATAAAAACTAAATAAGAAAGAAATTAAAGAAAATAATAATAAACAAATAAATAAATAAAATAGAATAAATAAAAATAAAAACTTACTATTTGTGCAATCGCTTAATGCGAGCGAGCGATGGTGTGCAGGAGCGGCGCCAGAGAGGAAAGGTCTCTGCCATACGCGGTTTGTAATCTACATAAATATTGCGATTACGATAACGATTTTTTTCCACTTGTTATTTGCTTGCGTTTTGTTGGTTGAATTGTCGAGTTTTTAGTTAATTTAATTTGTTACCGCTGCGCCTATAACATTATCGAGCGCGAGAATTGTGGTAATGTACTCGTAAGTTGATCGGAGGACACAGCGCATTGGTAGTATAGTAGTAGTAGTAGTAGTAGTATAGTAGTAGTAATAGAAGAGGAGAAAATGCCTAGCTTGTTTTGCGACGAAATTTGCCGTCTAAATCGTTCGACAGTTCAGTTTATTCGTGGCTCTGAGTGGCTTAAAGTGTGCAAGGCCCGTTGTTGCCGTTTACAGTACACTTTTTGCGATTTCGTCTCGGTCAGCTCGCGTCGTTGCCTACATTCCATCTACGTTCTGTCGCGAGCACCATTGATAAGCGTGCTAATTAATTTGTGTGAGCTCACTCAGTGTTTGTGATAACAAGTGATTATAAAGTTGATTGATAAGATCATATACATATATATGTATGATATATGAACTATGAGTAATCGGTATTAAAATTTCTTTCATAAAAATTTTTCTAATAACTGTGCGTGCAATTCTTGAAATATTTGGGATTGAGCTCAACATTTGTGATAATAATCCCTGTAAACTTCGTTCGGTGTTGTTTTTGTAAGTTTGGCTCGCTTTCGGTAAATATCTGCAGTCACTAACTTAATTCCGGTTTCCGCTGTCGATTTCGAGCTCAATTTAACTTGTGCTTCAGTTTATTTGAGTTAAATGCAAGGCTTCCCAGTCGAGTGACAGTGAATTTACCTTCGTGGCATCACGTTTGCTGGACAGAACTCCGCCCGCGTTCGATCAGATACCTTCACGGAACATGTCTTCGGTTCAGAAAATGGTTGCAGCCAATCCACCTGTGTAAATCCTTACTACAAGTTAAAGTTTACTGATTTTTTTTTTGTTATTTCGGTAACACTCCTACAATATCGGTACGGCCATAGCTTATTCCAAACTGTTGGTTGTGATGAATCAGCAGCTTAAGGTTACTTTCCTTTGCTAGCTGATTCAGATAAGTGAAATATTGTGTTAAAACTTGCTCGAAGGTGACAGCGTCTGTCTCTGGATGTGCTCTCATCTTTGGCATCGATAAGCAAAATATAAAAATGTGTCCAAAAGTTTTCTTCTAAATGACATCCGTGGCATCGTTATTTCAACTATTAAGAAACAGTTAAAATTACTCTCGCGCATCGTTACCAACTGTGAGCCGGTCAATGAGCCGTGAATATACCTATTATGTGCATGTGTTTGCATTAATGTGTGTGTGTGTTGTAATGTGAAACGAGAGTGTGTGTGAGCGAGCGCTTGACTTTGACTAATGCCAAGAAATTTCATTGATTATTTTATAAATAAAATTTTTAGTCGATCTATTATAAATAGATAACTAACAACCGAGAAACAAAAGAGTACAAAATAAAAATAAAATAAAAATAAAAAAGTATAAATATCACACACACACGGTGGGAAAATGTAAAATATATATTATACTATAAATTTAAGTGCAAAAAAAAATATAATAACTGAAGACTGAAAGTGTTGCTAACAAAACTTATTTCCGCCCTTGTTAGTAACCCTTCCGTCTACAACGAAGACAAAAAAAAAACAAAAAAAAAAAAAAACAACAACAATAACTTCAGTGTGGTGCGGTGCTGTGGTATGAACCCACACGTTTTTGTGCGCTCGCGTCTGTCATCTCGACCTAAACGTGCTCGACCAGCCTCGTCCCCTCTCCGTCCATTCCTTACTGCGTTGCCTTACTGCTGTCGCCTCTGCTGTCCATTGCTTTAAATTACTGTCGGAAATTTAATTGTTGTGGCTCATCATATTGATGTGGGTGTGCTGTTGTTGTTACTCAGCTCTGCCGCCAGCAGTTGCTCACTTTATCTCAAATGTCTTTGTTGTGGCAAATCGAATTATGTCTGTCTGTCGTTGGGAAAGTGTTATTACACTCGTAGGCGCTTTAGATAGGTAGACTGTGTGTGCAAATTGTTGATAAAAATAGTTTATTGTAAATATAATCAATGCTTAATACAATTCAGTTGAAAATGTGTGTAGGGCAAGATAAATGAAAATACATGTGAGTGAATTTCTTCTGCTCTCCTTTGTCAGGGTCAGTTAATGAGATATTTTATGTTTTTATGTATGAGTATTTTTGCTTTTGTTTTTATTCATATGTAGATAAATACGAGTGGTATGTATACACATACGTACATATAAGCAAATCTAATATCTTTTGATTCTTATTTGTATAATGATAAACGGCGTATTTTTAATGAGACAAAATTAAATAATAATAACAAGAATAAAAATATGAACATAAAATAATAATACATTAAAAAGTACAAAATAAATTTAAAACATAGATAAAATGAAATATAAAATAAAATAAATTAAAAATAAAAAACTAAAAAAGGAAGTAAATAAAAAATTAAAATGAAACAAACAAATTGGAATGACATAAAAAATCTCAAAAAAATAAGAAATTAAAATGAAATTAAAGTATTTAAAAAATAAACTAAATAAATAAAAAAAAAAAAAAAAATAATAATAAATAAATTAAAAAATAATAATAAATAAATAACAAATAAATAAAAAATATAATAAGAAATTAAGTAAAATAAAAAATTAAATAAATAAAATGAAAATAATTGAATCAAAAAAGACCTACAAATAAGATAAAAAATATAAAACAAGTACAATAAAAAAATATAAAACAAGTACAATAAAAAAATAAAAAATAAATACAAGAAAAAAAATTAACAAAAAAAATTAAAATGATAAACAAATAATAAAAAAATTAAAATGATAAAAAATAATAAAAAAAATTTAAAAAAAATTATGAAAATAAATATTTAAAACAAGCAAAAATTAAAAAGAATAAAAAATAAAGATTAAAAAGACTAAATAAGAATGTTAAAAAGAATAATAAATGAAAAATAAATAAAAATTTAAAAGAAAAAAAAAATTTAAATTAAAAAGAATAAAAACATAAAAAAAATTACAAAAATAAAAAATAAAATTAAAAAGAATAAAAAATAAAAAATGAAATTAAAAAGAGTAATCAATAAAAAATGAAATAAAAAGATTTAAAATTAAAAAATGAAATAAATAGAATTAAAAATAAAAAATTAAATCAAAATGGGTTAAAAAGTAAAAAATTAAATTAAAAAGAATGAAAAATAAAAGATGAAATTAAAACGAATAAAAATAAAAAAGGGAATTGAAAAGAATAAAAACTGAAATTCAAAAGAATAAAAAATAAGATATGAAATTATAAAGTAAAAAAATAAAAAAATGAAATTATAAAGTAAAAAAATAAAAAAATGAAATTATAAAGTAAAAAAATAAAAAAATGAAATTAAAAAGAATATAAAATAAGAAATGAAATTAAAAAGAATATAAAATAAAAAATGAAATTAAAAAGAATAAGAAATAAAAAATGAAATTAAAAAGAATAAAACAAAACTAATAGAAAATAAAAATAATAAAAAATAATAAAAAATAAAAGTAATAAAAAATAAAAAAAATAAAAAAATAAAAATTAAAAATAATAAAAAAATAAAGATAATAAAAAAATAAAGATAATAAAAAATAAAAAATAAATAATAAAACTAATAAAAAATAAAAGTAATAAAAAAATAAAACTACTAAAAATAATAATAATAATAAAAATAAAATAAAAAATGAATAAAACAATAAAAAATAAAATTAATAAAAAAATAAAAAGTAAAATCAGTAAAAAAATAAAAATAAAAACAATAATAAGAAATTAATAAAACAATAAAAAATAAAAAAAAACTTCAATTTATAAAAAAATTAATAAAACAATAAAAAATAAAAAAAACTTAAATTATAAAAAAATTAATACAACAATAAAAAATAAAAAAAAAAACTTAAATTATAAAAAAATTAATAAAATAATAAAAAAATAATAAAATTATAATAAAATATATAAAATTGATAAAAAGAAAAAATAATAAAAAAAAAATACAAATAGTAAAAATAAAAATAGTAAAATAATACCTAAGAGAAAGTAAAAATAATAAAAAATGTAATGTAAAATTCAGTTTTAATTCAGTTACTTTAAGCTAAATTATATTTTCGGCGCTTCGTGGTACGCGTCTTGATGTTTTCCAACAAACGGATGGACCTACAGTTTATTCTGAGCCGTCTCTGAACGGCCGATGGATTTTTATGAGGAGCTTTCCTTGCCAAAGGGGCGGCCGCAATTAGAAAAATTAACTTAATTTATAACAATATAAAATATGAACAAATAGTTCTGTGCACATATAAACATCTTCTGAATATTATTCATTTAACTATCTAGTATGTAATATTTTTAACCCAAAATTGATATCTTATCAGCCACGCCTATCCGGAGGTGCTTATACGTATGGACATAAACTTACATATTTCCATGCACGTACAGTGTCCGTCGTTAATGTTTTTTATTCATTTTATTTGCTGTTTTCTTTTTTCCACAAAATATATCAGTTTGGCCGAAAATCGCTTCAACGGTTACAACGCGCCAATTATATGCATACACACATACATACGTATATATTTCAGTTTGTGCAAAGAAATTCGTTGTATGACTCATTGGAACCATTGTTTCCGGCAATATAAAAGTTTGTCTATTTTTACAGGCAATTACTTATGTATGAAAATTAAGAAAATAAATTCAAAAACATATGTGCTTTTTTCAGCATACGTACAATCGACCAAATTGAATTTTTTTTACAAATAAGTGATTATTTCAAATACAATTATTACATGACTCATTGTTAATCAATTTTTTACTCAATTTTCGCATTTTGTTACTTAGAAACTTTTATTTCTCAATTTATTTATTTATGCATTTCTCTTTGAACAAAGAAAGAACTTTCTTTCGCCACATCAAATGCTTTCCTCACACACAGCCAATCAATTTCTCAGACGAAA